GCTTCCCGCTGCCGCCGCACCGCCGGAGCACGATTTCTGTTCTCATCCTGAAGCAAAGTTCTTAACCCGAGGTAATATTTCTGGGTTAGCGGAGTCTGTTACCTGAAGCGTCTGTAACCATGAAGCATATGTAACCTGAGGTACCACTGTAGATGGATATATACCTTGTAAACATTGTTTTGAAAACATTTTCAAAGGATGTCACAGATGTAATCTGGGTTATCATTAAGATTGGATTTGAGCCAAGGTTTAATTATGGAACTTTTTTATGCCAGCACATTGAAATATTTGAAAAAAGAATAATGGTGAGTGCTTCTGATCATGCACAGAGTGCTCTCTTCACCTCTGAGTAGACACAACCTGCTGCCACACACCTGGTAATGAGGGTGTTTTACAGACAGATCTGAGTGTTGGCATCCTGCTTTTTATAGAGGGATTTATTGTCCAGGTGGGATGTAGGTGGCGCTGTGGGTTAAACCACAGAGCCTAGGACTTGCCGATCAGAAGGCCAGTGGTTCGAATCCCCACGACGGGGTGAGCTCCCTTTGCTCAGTCCCAGCTCCTGCCAACCTAGCAGTTCGAAAGCACATCAAAAGTGCAAGTAGATAAATAGGTACCGCTCCGGTGGGAAGGTAAATGGCATTTCCATGCGCTGCTCTGGTTCGCCAGAAGCAGCTTAGTCATGCTGGCCACATGACCTGGAAGCTGTACGCCGGCTCCCTTGGCCAATAAAGCGAGATGAGCACCGCAACCCCAGAGTCGGTCACGACTGGACCTAATGGTCAGGGGTCCCTTTACCTTTACCTTTTATTGTCCAGGTAGTTATTTGAAACATGTGCCCTCCTTGTCTGTAAAATGCTCTCCCTAGACAGGCTTGCCTAGCACCTCCTTTAATGTATTCTCAGCTGCAGCAAATATTTTTTGTTCTCCCAGGTCATTTAGCATTTTTAAATATCCTTTAATATTATTGGTATTACTTAATTCTAATCTGTGCTGAACGCCGGCAATTTGGCCAGGTTTTAGCTTCTGTGGCCGGATTGATTTTGGTTGAATTGTTTGCTGAGGTTTTCTATTGTGTCTGTCTATGTTGGATTTTAGGGCTGGAATTATCTATTGCTAGGTTGTTTTTATAAATTTATGGGTTAGCTGAGTTGCAGGGTTTAATTTTGTCTGCTTTACTATGTCTTTGGCCTAGAGATTCTTTTACATTAGATGACATAAACTGAAACAAATAAAAGTCCTTAAGGGATTGTCCATACCTAGGAGAACATCCACATTTTCCTCTGAATAGCAGCCTCCCGCTGCCAGCCTTCCATATTCTGTATCTGACTCAAAATGCTTACAAAACACCAACAGGCCATATTGGGTGTTGAGTCATACTCTGAGTAGGCACGCGGAAATAAATGAACATTATTAACTTTTATGTTGTACATTGCCTTGTTTTATTCATTATGAAAGTGCAGTTTAGTCATACTTGAATAATAACAGCAGCAACAACAACAACTTGAGCTTACTGATTTAAGGAGGTTTCTCTGAGGAGAACATGGCTAGATTCAAATGCCGCATGTTTCAGAAAGGATTCGCCAGGAAGTGTGGGAGGAAAACTAGCATTTTCAGAAGTCAAAAGCCTCACTGGGCATGCAGTATTATTACTTCTACAATTCTTTGGATTGTGGCTCATGAGAGCTAGAAACTTACAAGTGACTCACAAAACGCCACATGTAATAAAAGGCTTTATGTTTTCCGAAAACTAGAAACAAAGTTTATAACAGGACTGGGCTTTGACTCATCACTCTTAAATCTGTGTTAAAATGATCAGGGGCTTCTGGAATACTTATTAGCAGGGGCCAGAGAACCACCTCTGCCAGAGCTGTAGTGCTGCACAGGCAAAGGAAGAGAGGAGACAAACTGCTGCAGCTGTACTGCTTGCCATTCATACAAGCAGTGTATTTTTCCAGCTTTCGTGGTTACATTAATTGTTAATGACAAAGGCAACCTTCACTCTGTGTGGTTTCCTGCCTGTATTTGGATCCTTTACAAGGCTTCTTTTCTCCCCAACCCCACCGTCCTGCTTTTCCCTGATAGGATATGCAACCCGAGATGTGCGAAAAAACAGTGCACACATTGTCATTTAATTGGCCCTCACTCAGGCGCATCGGGCCTCAGCGCGTGTGCTGCAGAGTGTCTGCTCCACAACAGGAAAGAATAAACTCAGGCTCAAATCATAGGAAATTCATCAAATATGCTTCTTAGAGTTCTGTCTTTCAAGGTCTGTTTCCTTGCCATATGATCTCTATAAACCAAATTACTGCTGGCCTGAGTACAAGACTCGAGGCGCCTGGGGCTAACATATAATGAATGCCAAATGCATGTGACAATAGACTGATCATGGAGAAGAATGGAAATTTTTTAAGTACTTCTTTTATTTCATTTATAGAAAGCAAACTGACTACACTTAATACATTTCTAAAGGAGCCAGTCATTTCCTTGTGGTTCCAGACCTGCGCACCAAGTCTTTTTATATCAGCCTCATTAAATCAGAAGGATGGATGGAAGATCTTTCGGAATAAGCAGTATAAGCTGAAACACACACAAAAAGCAAGACATTTCCTTTAGACGCATTGTGGAGTGAGCTCAGTTGTTCCTACGAGCAATGTTCCATAAGCGACGGATTGTATCCGATTCCGTCATACTCAGGGAGTAGACTTATTAAAACGGACGGACTTCCAATTAATAGTGTCCAATGGTTTCAGGGAGTCTACTCTGAGTATGATTTAGACCTTCACAAGATCCATTGCAATGAATAGACAGTATGGAAACAGCAGTGCTGGGTAGTTTATACCCTTTGTTCCATTTACTTAATGCAACCAAGAGCTCTACTGCTTTGCGTGGAATTTATCACCCCATCCAGAATTGCTGTGTTGTTGTTTAAGCAAGGGTAGGGGGTTGGGAAATCTCCTTAAAGGCTCAATGGATGGGAAGCAACTTGTTTTATTAATTTGTGCAATAAACAGCCAAGCAGGGTGTCCCTCCCCCGCCCCAAGTTTGCCAATTATATTAAATTCCCTAACAACTGAAAATGTTACCGGTGAAGGATTGCAAGAAATGCGAAATCTCCAGACAAGGAAAATGTACATACATATATATATTGCACTCGCCATACTGTATGCAGAGAGGCAATTAATATTGCTTCTTAGGCTTTAGAAAATACTGCACTTAGAACTGCAAGTCAACTAACAGATCGTCTATAACCCATAAATGCTTCCATATTCACAGGCATCAGCACTCTTACACTTACAAAAAAAAAGAAAAGAAATAATACATACATATTAATGGATCACTTTTTGTCCTTTGGGGAGTATATTTTTTAAAAGGGCCAAGGCAGCAATAATAGCTCCTTTAAGAATTCTAAATGCTCTAATTGTTTTATATAAGTTACAGTGTTAGTATTAATTAATGATGAATGTTTTGTGTATGTATTTGAGGAAAACAGCCAAAGAAAAACATATATATATATATATATATATATATATATATATATACACACACACACACACACATAAGCCCTATTTCAAGCCGATGTTAATTTTTGCCCTTTTTTTTGAAGGTTTGGGATTGCTTAAATACAAAATTATTTTAACCACATTTCAATTAGAACCATGAAATATAGCCCATGAGGTCATGCAATTCAGCAGACAGGTTTTTATTCCACACTGAAGCTTAAAGCAACACGTGAAAACAGCAGGAGTGCCTTCTATTATATTTTCATCTAAATCCTTAAGCAGGTACTATGAGCTACTGGGCCACTGCAGTTACATATAGAAATCAGTGTATGTTGGTGCTGTGCCCTTCTATTGCAGGGGAGCAAACGACATAAACCCCAGTGCAGCAGAAACCAGTTGATACAGCTGAACCAGCAAGGCACTCCCCTGTGCCAAAACTCAAGTCCAAAGTAGGTGATGGTGTCAGTATGTTTGTGGTCCACCACTCCTTCCACCATATTGATGCTTCTGGAGAACTGAGCCAGAAAGTGGCATTGCACTGAGGAGACTGGCAGGCCCAACTTTGTGGGATCAGTGCCTTCGCATGTTGAATGAGGGGTGCTATTGATTTTATCATAAGAGGATAATGAAAAGACAACTCCTTTAATACAATCTATGTTTTCCTAAATGTGAGGTAGGAGGAAGGGGAATAAAGCTTTTGGATTATTGAGTATATATGGATAAAGATGTACAGTGGTCCCAAATAATACTAAGAGGCATTCATAGGCTGAATAGTGAGGTTTCTGAATGATCATCATTCTGCTAATTAGTTTTACAGTATATGAATAGCCTAAATGTCCTCCTTACTGGCACATTTGTGTAGCTGATGGAATTAACTAGAATCAGCAAAATCCAGATATCCTTGGTTTTGGTTCTCCTATTCTCCAAGGTAAGCCTTTTCCCACTCCAAGTAGGACAGAGGAAAATGTATTTGGTTTTGTGCATGTTTTTCTATAGGTATTTTGATTGCAATAGAGACTTCCAACATCTACATGCTGCCTGAAGCAAGTTCCGAATGCCATTACTAAACAAGTGCCCTACTTGCCCACATAAGGATACAACACCAGAAGAGTTTGGGCACCATCACAAATATGTATATGCTGAAAAAATGCACACAATATATTTTTACAAAGTGAAGCAATCAGTGCAAAGAAATGTGGACATGAAGAAATTATTGTGGTCAGGGTGCTGAATGCACACATACTCAGAAGAGAAAATTGTGCTGAATTACGCAAAACCTCCTTTAAATTCAGCAATGCCTTTAGCGGGGAAAACATCCAGCAAGGAATATATTAATGTACATATTGTCAAGTATTTCGTTTTTTAAAGAGTATAGTATAGGTGCCAAAATATGCATTTACAAAGAGGACAAAAATAACTACTCTGGTCTTTAAGAATATGTGGGGTTTTGTTTTTGTTTTTTAAAAACTACCTACAAATAAATGTATATCTCAGTCTGCCATCAACAAATTGCATACATTCTCTCTCTCTCTCTCTCTCTCTCTCTCTCTCTCTCACACACACACACACACAGAGAGAGAGAGAGAGAGAGAGAGAGAGAACACATATAATGTTCCTTAATATAGTAACACAGCCGTAGTCACATTCAAATGTATATTGTGTTCTAGGCATGAATACTTCTTGCAGTTGCATTGCCTAAAGCCTTTTCCTTCACAAACTTACATAATGTTTGTTAAAGTGCCAATGGTTATGCCTCCTTTGCTGTCTCTGGAAGCTTTGCCCAGGTGTTGATTATTCACTGTATAGAGGTATTTCTCTCAAGGTCTCCTTGGCCTGTTGTGTGCTATCATTTTGAAGGGACTTAGCTCTAGATTCAGCCTCAGACCTTGAGCCAAAATGGGCAGACTCTGAAGTGCTTTGGCCAGGGATCAAAAAAGTAAAGCCTTGGAACTTATTTGTAGACGCAAAATGGCATAGAGCTTTCCTTCACTGGATAACCACTTAGTCGCCCCACATCTGGTATGAGGCAAAATGTCTTCCGGGTCAAAATCCATGGCTGCCAGGCAAATCTGAGCCCTGTCACCTTTCATTTGAGAAATTAAGCACTTGCTATTGCTGATTAAAGAATTCAAGGTGTGGGTCAAGCAGGGGGATGGGGGGATTTCACCTTCCTCAAAGAGTCCACGGGAGTCATCAGCTTCCTGGGCATGTTTGCATTCTTTGATATATGGGGAACTGAGAAATACAGATTTCCTTGCTTAAGGGGCCTTCAGAAAGGCCAGGTTGTATTAATTCGGGTCTACCCATGTGTGCTTGTGCTCAGATCAGCCATCGGTAGCCAGGTTCCCTGCTACAGCCACAAGAGCAATTTGTAGACAGACTGCATGGAATTATTGCTAAATTCCCAGCTGATGGAAGGTATTATAGGTTATGTCCTACAAGGGAAGATGTTGTAGACCCCACTGTGTGTTGCAGCTGACTTGCTAGAAATAATGGCTCTGTAAAAACACTGGAAGGAGGACAGTACCTAAAACTAAAAACACGCTAAAATATGGCAGGAAACCTTGAGGGAAGTTTCATTTTTGTGGGGCTTGTGAGAGTTAAAGCATCACAGAAAGGCCTAAAAAGGGTAAACAAATATGGCAAGGGAGCCAATGAACATTGTTCAGCTGAACATATGCACTTCTTGTTTGTGTAAGCTTTTTTCAGAGAAAAGAAATGAAGTCCCGTTGAAACATCCAAATAAAATTAGGAAGGCTCAAACGCTTTAGATTTCTGGGGGTATGTCTTGGCTGCACTCTGATCAGGAATTTAGGCTGCTACTGAAGAAGGAGGAATCATTCCTCTCCCGAGGCAAATTAGATTTTGTTCTCCTACTAGGGCTGACAACTTCATTTTTAGCCAGCTTTCCCTCTCAGCCAATGTACACTTGGGGCCATGTGTAAACTGCTGTGTTTTTTGCTGGCACTCAGAGTTCTTTTCTTTTTCTTTTTTTCATGATTTCATGTTGCTAGCGGCAGTACAAATAAAAAAAATGTGTGAGATGAGTGTCGCTATATTGCCATGAGATACAGGGCAGGCAAATGGCAAGATTGCGGTTAGCCAAGGTAAAACAATGCAGCTGATTGAAAAAGCTGGCTCCAAACTGCATGAATGCTAATAGCTATAAGAAGCCATTATGACTGATTTAGGATTGATTTCCTTTTTGCCGCTGTTCTTAATACAGCAGACAATACAGTGTAAATGCAACACATATTTTTCACTTATATCCAGGAGTCTCAATGTGGCCTCCCTGTGGAGGTGCACAAAATTTAAAGAGAAGTGCAATTTCTTTCCTTTTCTTTTCTAATCCCTTCATGATTTTTATGTCTATCAGGGTTATGAAACTGGGTACAGAACTTCACAGTACAGCCCTCATGTTTTATGCGGTGTAACACCCATGCACAGCAATCTGTGGCACTGAATGCATGATGAGTCATCAAGACTTTGCCCAGCTAGTACCTCTCATCTCATGATTTTGCTTTAATGTCTAATAAATGGTATATACTACATTGCAACGCAAGTTTGCCATGTAGCTGAAGCACATAATTGTGTGCAATGGCTCCCCACAAAATATTTCTATTGATGGCATCATTTCAGATTGTGAGTAGTGGCAAAATTCACGGCATTGTTCAAAAGCTTGCTCTTGGATCAATTTAAAATTAAATTAAATTAAAATCCCTGTATTTTTAAAAAGCAATGGCTGTGTTTTTTGTTTATTGGTTTTTTAAAAACTCCTTTCTTATAACCTTCAGAGATACAAGTGCTCTTTGGGGGGGACTTGTGGTCTAACATGCAAAGGAGCAAATTGCCTTTTTTGTGTAGCATCCTTGGCACATGGTGCTGTGGCTAGAACTGAAGGGTAGCAGTGGATTTATTAGGTTAAGTATTTCAGAAGGTCATAGCTTGGCATCTTCTTCTTTCCAGTTCCTTATCTCAGGTGAAAGGCTTTTTTACAAAATGTAAAAAAATGGTGTGCCTGGTCAAGATAGGCTTTTACTCATTGCAGAAATAGATATTTCTAAATATAGCTTAAGCATTTGCAGCACAATGCTAACTATGCTTACTCAGAATGAAGACCTACTGAATTCACTGGGGCTTACTCCCAGATATGTGGGGTGCAGCCTTCCTTCTTTTGATATGGTTGCTTGAAGGACGGGGTTCGAAATGCATGCAAGTTCATGGCCAGAACTGGCCATCCCATTTAAAAATAAAAATGATCTCACTGGATTGTCAACTCTGCTTGCAAAGATGGTTGAAGAAGAAGAAGAAGAAGAAGAAGAAGAAGAAGAAGAAGAAGATGATGAAACCAGTCTGTCAGTCGTCTCTCCACCCACATCTCTTACAGGCCGCTGCCTGTCTTTTTTTCACAATGAAGCCATAGTTGGAATGAGCACAGTCAAGATCATCATTAGGTGATTTCATGAGCCCTCCATTTCCAGCAGTGTCATATGTGGTGCTGGGTGAGGCCACCCACATAGCCCACTGTTGTGGCCTGGTTGCTCTGTTGAAAGAAAGTTATAAAGTCAGCTTTTTGACTTCTGCCAATGCATCCAGATGATTTCAATTTGCTAAGGATCTAACTGTAGCATTAGTCTGACAAACCTGTGCCAGTAGGCAACTGCGTTTCTTCTGCAGCAATTTTAGAACTCAAGGGCTTCATTTGGGACTGGGCAAGGGAACAGTTATCTTTACAACAATCCATTACTGAGCTGGCTCCTTAACTGGCAAGTCCATTAAGTAACTCCCATATATGCAAGTGTTTATTGTGGGGCTTCATTGCTCAGAATCCTTTAACTGGGAATCCAACTGATTTTTACTTTTTTAGAAAAAGAGAGATGTTAGGACAGCAGCCTGCCTTTTGCAAGGGAGGGCATCGTGTGGAATCCATTTTGAACTGCAAGTGAAGCTACTCAAAAGTACGGTAACATGCTGAAGTTGAGTCAATCAATTACCAGTCTAGTTTAGCAAGTGCCAAAAGTATTGACCCTACACTTAGTATAGTGTTCTCCAAAGTACTTAAAAATCATATATGGAGGGTAGTATTACCATAGAGATCTATTTTTAACCAGGTTTTGGCAGTATGGTCTCCAAGCTTGAAAAGCCCTCATGTGCTTCTAAGGCAATCTACTGATCACAAACATTCTAAGTATTTTAAAGGTGTTTCGTGGAAGAAAAAATTGATGCTGTTTTATTATGTAGTAAAAGGGAGGAAATAGTCCTAGCACTTGCTGTGATGGTGTTTAGCAAGTTAACCATCAGCAGGAGCCCAACCTCATATTGGCAAGAGTCGCATGTTCTCAGACTTTCCATCTATTAGCTGCCATTTTATTAGAGAGAAAAGTGCGGGGAGAACAAGTTGGTTCTCTTTCCAGACATTTAGACTGTTGTATGATTGTTAATCATCAGAGGAATTCAGGGCTTCAGAAGTTTTTCAGATGTCTCTGACAGCAGAGTGCAGTTTAGAAGAGACATTTCACATCTAAGTAATGTATATAGTTGGAAAAGCAAACACCATTACTCATGCCATTCATTAGCTTGCTATCGAAAACACAAATGCCAGGGTCTTGTGCATACAAAAAGACAAGCACCCTGGATTAGACCTTAGGGTCATTGGTGGGGAAAAAGGAAGAAACGAAAGACCTTCCACCAACATTATTGCCAGAGAATTGGGAAACGTTCATCCCGTGAAATGTGTATGGGTTGCTCGTGCGTAAGTGCCGCCTCTCCAGGCTTTGTTGCCTTGCTAAACCTTTCAGTGTGGGCAGCCCTTCACTTCGTGACTGCCTCAGTCGCTAGCAGAATCCGTCAGGGGCGTTTCTTAAATCTTTTCCAACATAAAAGTTGTTTGACACCCAGTCTCCTCCTACTCTCTCTGCGCGGGAGTCTTCTACGCAGGGTGGGCGTGGGTAGCGGAGGACCCGTGCTCTCCCCGCTGGTGTCTGGTGAAGAGTCTTGGAGCCCTCTCGCCGATTCCCCCATCAGCCCCTCTTTTTCCCTGGTGTTGCGCTGCTTAGCTTCCCCATCTGCGGAGCTGCCTCTCTCTCTGCTGGGCCTTTCTCCAGCATCATTTGAGAGCCTTCCCTCCGCCTCTAGCTCTGATGTCAGTTCCCTGACATCCACCTCCCTCCCAGGACCCCCTCCACCCCCGGCCCGACCTGTTGACCCAACTTCGTCCCTTTCTTCGGCCGACGATGCGGGGAACCCCCGGAAGGAGCTGTCGCCATCCTCTGAGGATTCAAAACCCGCTTCCCACCTGCTCTGATCCCTTCCCGCGGGGTGGGCCTCCCAGTCTGATTCTTCTTCCTCCGAACCCTCTTCTCCCTCCCCTTTGGAGACAGAAAAACCCACAAAATCCTCTTCATCGTCTGTGGTTCCAAATTGCTCCTCCCAGAATCTCGCAAGTGGTTTGGGTTTGTCCGGGAACAGGCGGTCGAATTCCTCCACCAGATACCCGTCAGTGATTGCCTCCGCGGGAACCCACGTGTTTTCCGACCCGGGTTCTCCCTCCCAAGCCACCAAGTACTCCACCTGGCGCCCTCGCCACCTTGAAGCAAGTATTTCCGTGGCCAAGTTGTGGTGCT